CACCAGAGCTGTGAGTGAGAAAAACTACAAAGATGGCTTCAGCTCAAGAATGGCACTCATTTGAAACGGCTTGGCATCAACTTTGGATTGTTTTAACTTTTCTTTGAGACATGAGCAGACAGAGGTACATAAGTCATTTGTTTTGAAAAAGGGTGTATTTGCTTCTTCTTCGATGGTGTGTGGCGAATTGCCCCAGTGACTAATTTCCATAGCGATGACTATGCAAGGTTGTTTGTTGCTCTGATTGGTCCTAGCGCTGTCCAACTGCGCTCAGAGACAGTTTGAAAAACAACTGTAGATTCCTGTCCGTGACTGAGCTCTGTCTATGGGTCGTGGCGTGACCATATATTTACATATATGTTTAGGATGGCTTGCCAGACTAAGGATTTGCATCAGGAGTCAGCCCAGTTGAACATGGCTATAGCCGTCAATTTCAGGTATGCTGGACTAGCGTGTGCTACTAGATGAGGGTCATTCACAACAGGTACAAACTCGGTTCATGCAATATTCAAAATCCAAAAGAGTCGTCTTAATTTCTCAGCTTCAGATTTTATTTTAAATCTGACATCAGTGGGTGACATGCATTTTTATTTGCCCAACATTTTTTTTTATGTATTCTGTCTCTGGTTTACTCTGATTATTGGACTGCAGCAGGAGAGTTGGTGCATCTCTGGGGTGACGACAGACTGCACGCTCATTCTGAAGCTGACGAGTCATGAAACTGAACTGGCTGATTTGTACTTGTTACGACAGCTGAGTCATTGTTTGTTCTCTCTCTTGTCTCATGGAAAATTAGACTGATTATGTTTTCTGATTGAGAATAACTTGGGTAGGAAAAAAACCCAATGAAAATTAGATCATTTTTTTGTGACGTAAACTTCTAAAACCCAACCCAGCAGTTATGCCAAATATGAAATCTATACATTTTCTTTAGTCCTAAAAACTGGAGCTGTGAATGTTTTCAGCCGCGATGTGGAGATTAGTGTTTAGTTTTGGCCCGTCCTCATTTGCTTTGGCTCTGAGCCCAGCTCAGTGCACTGCTGTGTGCAGAGAAAGAGAACAGACGCTCTGCCCTAAAAACCCTCACTACACACTTAGTAAAACTTTAAAAAACAGCTGGAAAATTCAACTAGAGCAGTTCTGTTGGCTGTTTATGTGAAACCTAAATTTCACAGTTAGATTTTTGCTTTTTCTTCTTCTGACCAATTTTAATTAGGCCCGAGCAGCG